TCAAACTGCAGAGAATCAAAGATAAAGAAAATATCTTCAAAGTATCCAGAAGAAGTGTGTTAGTCAGTTTTGTATCACTGAGACCAAAATAACTGACAAGAACAACTCAGAGGAGGAAAAGTTTGTTTGGGGCTCACGGTTTCAGAGATTCTATCCACGGTTGGCTCAGTCCATTGCTGTGTCCTGTAATGAGGCAAAAATCATGGCAGAAGGGCATAGTGGAGGAAACCTGCTGAGGTCTTGGTAGCCAGGAAGCAGAGACAAATGAAGAGATAGAGAGAGAGAAGGGAATGGGGGAGAAGATAAACCTCAGTATGTGTCCCTAGACATTACTTCCTCCGATTAGGTCCCATCTCCCTGTGGTCCATTTGGTTTTCTGTCTACTGGATGAGGTCAGAGCCTGTATGAGCCAATCATTGTGTAAAAGCCCCACCTCTACTCACATGAGACTTTTGGAGACATTCCAGATCAAAACCGTCACAGGTATCTACCTCAGAGCTTGGTTGTGAAATCCAAAGTGTCTACATCTAAAGAATATAGGCTGGGACAGAGTAAGCATAAATCACTGTCAAATGTATACATTATTGAATTCACTAAGTTGAAGGACTTTAAGAACTCTTTAAGAATCCCTACTAATCACAGAACAAAGTTCAAAGACTTTGCTATGGACCAAATGCTTGTATCCTCCCCAAATTCACCTGTTGAACTCCCAACCTCCACTGCAATGATATTAGGAGGTGGGGACTTCAGTATGTGAATATGACATTAGGATGGTGTTCTTTTTTAATATTTATTTTTCAGTTTTTGGTGGACACAACATCTTTATTTTATTTTATTTTTTTGTGATGCTGAGGATCGAACCTAGCGCCCCGCGCATGCAAGGCGAGCGCACTACCGCTTGAGCCACATCCCCAGCCCAGGATGGTGTTCTTGTAGAGGAAATTAGTGCCTTCAAAAGGAGAAACACAATAGCTTTCCTTATCTCTCTGATCTCTGTGATGTGGGGATACAATGAGAAGATGGGCTCCTCCAACTAGGAAGACAGACTTCACCAGAACTACCATACATTCGAGATACATAGATACCCGTGTTTATCACAGTATGATTCACAATAGCCAGGCTGTGGTCCAAAAGGAGATGAATGGATAAAGAAAATATAACTAACACACACACACACACAGGAGGTTTATTCGGTCATAAAGAAGAATGAAAGTATGCTATTTGCAGAAAAGTGGATGGAACTGAAAACCATAGTTTTCAAGTCACACGTGAAAAAGTACTATATGTTTTCCCTCATATGTGGGGACTAGAGAGAAGAAACAGGGAAGGTGGAATTCCATGAATGCAGATGGGGGTGACTGTTATGGCAGAGGGAGAAGACTGTGAGTAGGGAGGAGAAGATGGGGAAAGTACTGGGGGTGAAATTGATCAAATTGTGTGTTTATGTACATGCAAATATGCCATAATGGAACCTACCATTCTCTATAATTAATTTGCACCAATAAAAAAGAAGAGAGACCTGGCCAGGCTAGCTCATGCACTTCTCGCCTCCAGAACTGCAAGGAATAAAGTTCTTTTCCATAAGCCACCTATACCCTGAGACTCTGTTACAGCAGCACAGACTCACTGAGACAGTCCCAAAGGTGCCTAGATGATCTCACTCTTCTCGTTCTCTCCCCCTGTTCTGGTCTGATTTTGAAGCTCTTTCTATTTCTTGGCTGCACGGTGATCTCCCTTGTCCTGTGGCTTTTCTTCATTTTACCAGCTTGTCTGGAAACCCTCTGTCCCTTCATTCTCCTTTCAGTTAGTGTCTCCTGCTCTGGCCTCCAGTTAGAGATCCCCCACCTCCAAAGCATCCTCTGCATCCCTAAGGTTGAGTAATTGGATCTCCTAGGAGGTCTCAGGGTGCTTTACCTTGCAGAGAAATGAGTCTTGTGATACATTCGCTTGTCTCTATTTCCCAGTACTCCATAAACTCTGAGAGAAGAGATTATTACTATCATTTCTCACCATTGTATCTGCAGCACATGGCAATTTTTCTCTAATAAAAATCTTAAATTAATAAAAAATGAACACCATTTCACTTTCCTCCTCCATGTACAATGAGCATTGTTTTCATTTTGAAGATGAGAATCTTAGGTTCAGGAGAATAACAAGGTCATGCAATATCAGATGGTTCTTAGGAAGGTGTTGTGTTAATTATTGCTGTGTGACCAACTTGTGGCTGTTTTGGGAACATTAATGACGAATCTCCAGCAGCATAATTTCATTTTAATTATAAATCTAACTTATGTATAAAATAGTAACACATAGTTATCTAGGAAGACAAAGGTAACCTAGAAATGTGTGAAATTGCAAAAAAAATGGGCTTTCCAAAAGGGTTCTAAACTGCATTTAAATTAGTTTTGTGTATATTTTGGTCAGTTCTCCATTTCTTTAACAAAATACCTGAAATAATCAACTTAGAAGATGGAAAGGGCCAGGCACAGTGGCGCACACCTGTAACCCCAGTGGCTCAGGAGGCTGAGGCAGGAGGATCACGAGTTCAAAGGCAGCCTCAGCAATAGCTAAGCAAACCTTGCGTCTAAAGAAAATACAAAATAGGGCTGGGGATGTGGCTCAGTGGTTGAGTGCCCCTGAGTGTAATCCCTGGTACCTCTCTAACCACCCCCCACAAAAAAAAATAAAGACGGAAAGGTATATTTTTGGCTCATAGTTTCAGAAGTTTCAGTCCATGATCAGTTGATGAGGCAGCCAATTCAGCGGATTTCACACAATAGATGCACACACCCTTGTACAGACCCCGAATCATTGTGCATTTCCGACATAAAAAAAGGAACTATGCATAGGGACTTAGATTAGATCCCCAACACTGTAGAAGGGGAAAAAAAGGAACTAGTTGTGTTTCTGAGAAATTCGCAGCACAGCCTTTAGGATTTAGAAAAGCTACTAGAAGAAGAAGAATGAAGATTTAAATTGAGTGAAGTGTGGAGCGTGGGGAACTGATTCTATCTGCACCAAGAACCTGAGGTGCTCTCCCAGAGCCTGGGCCCCATCAGACACAGCAGACTCTGCAGGCTGGAAGAAGGTAGATGTCCTTCCTGGACTTTGGGGATGACGGATTTCAGTTATTGGTTCTAGAATTCCCGGGTGTAGGAGGATTAAAAAAAAAAATAATAAGGTCACCTGTCATGGCATAAGCTGGTATTCTGGATTGGGGTGGGTTGGGTGCTCCCTGAAATGCACATGTAGAGCATTTGAGAAGCAGTCCTTGCTGTAGAGGATGGGGGCGAGGAAAGGTCTAAGGTTTCCTCAAGGCTAAAGCTGAGTGCTGTGTGAGGTTGATTATTTTGTTCTTCAAATGCGTGGCCATTGGAAAACCGTAAGTATTATGTTAAACGTTTGGCTAAATATCTTATGTGTTCTCAATGTCTCTTCTTCTATGTCCTTTATTCTCTCTGAATTGTTGTTTTTATAATTCGACAGTTAAGGTCTGCTGCACGCAGAATCTGGGAGAGGCAAGGGTTAAGTCAGAGTTCCCAGTCAATGCACTTCGCCCGGTCCTGTGACAGACTGTGGTCTAACCTGGTCCTCCAACAATCTGTGGCCATATTCATGGGACACCCACCCACCACCTGAAGCTTCTGGGGAGGAGATGTGCTAAAGGAAGACACCTTGAAGATGATCAGCATTGTGGAGATCCGAAATAGACTCAGGGGAAAGTGGGCCCAGGACACCCTCCTCTGATGAGGGATAAGACACCCAGAGAAACATTTTACCCAGAAACAAGTGGTCTTTGTGGTCATATAACCAAATGACCTTAATTCGTGGGATTTCTCCCTTCTTCGTGGACTCTAGTGTATTACAAAACAGATTGCTGTCTCAGCAAATGTGTTTTGGGTTTGATTTCTCCTTTATTCCTGTTTTCTATGTTTCCTAGAATGATATTTCTCTAGGGTAGTTCCAGCTGTCAACTGATACATTCAGTTCCAGGTTTATAAACAATAGTTTATGTTTTAGACCTCTGTGGCCACGTGTCCAGTTTCTTTGAAACTCTAAAATTCCCCACAAATTCATCCTTATACGATTTTTATTAGTAATCATTCCCCCTGATTTATAGGGATGTTAGTTGTTTCTCGGTTTTATTTTTTAAATGAATTTTTAATTCTGTCTCCAAATTATTTTTTGAAATCTTCTACAAGAAAAGAGAACAAACATTGTTTTGTTTTGTTTTTTGGTTACATCCAATTCCTGTTCTTAACTCTTTTAAATTCATTCATATTATGCATTCCTTGTTTACTATTCTTTTTGTTTTAATTTTTATAGTATTACTTTTTATTATTTATGATGTATCCTTTTGTACTTTCCTTTTATTGCTTTCTATAAATTTGAGAGTATGCTACTAAAACTAATGGTTTAAATTATTAAATTAAATTATTTTATTTTTTATAAATTTTATGTCTTTAAATTTTATAGTTTTATATTTCTCATTATCTGAGCTTCCTCCTACTGATTTCCATCAACTTATTTCTAGATAGTAATGGAGTTCTCTTGATCTGTCAATGATAAATTTAGGTCGATAATCCTTTCCATCTAAATCTGGATCAGTTACCTGAATATAGTATGTTTAGACATCACAACATCTTTTGCATGTTGTGCTACCAGTAAGAGAGAATACACCTTCAAACTTTATTCTTTCATGGGGTCTGAGTGAAGCAGAAGTGATGTCAGAATCTACTGTGCCTTGAAGAACCTCAGTAAGCTTCCACTCAACATGTGAAGATATTGTGCATCTGAATACAGGGGTTTCTCTCTCTTTCTCTCTCTCCACCTCCCCTCCTTAATCGGTTGCTTCTTCCACTTTCCTGGCTCAAACAGCTATCATCTATAATGGGACCACAGTCCAGAGTTTGCAGATAGGAAGAAATCGGCCTCAGAGTGCCGTGTCCCCCTCTGGTCACAGAAATGTCATTTCTTATTCTAGCACTGTTTCTGTTGCCATGGCAACCGTGCAAGGAACAGAACAGACCACCCTGGAGGCTGGCCCTGCTGTGCATCTGGGACAGTCAAGTGCTCTACGCTCCCAGCTGTGGAAAGAGATGCAAGAGAAGTTCTTGAGGGGAGAACCCAAAGTCCTTGGGGTAAGTCAGTGGTGGATCTGAGAGAAACTCACACCTGATCAACCCAATATCAAATACTCTGTTTCACTGCCTGGTAATACATCAACCAGACCTAGAATCATGGGTGCTTGATTTGGGTCTTCAGGCCTTACCATTTGAAAAATGTTAAAATGTTCCATCACATCATGATTTCAATACATTTGAAGTATGGTGACGTCAGATCCACTCCAGGTTGTGGGTCATCCAGAAGAGTTATACTTCACCCCGGTGGAGAGCAGCCAAAGAGGCTCTGGATGGTAGCTGAGGTCCCTGTCATAGGTCTGTCTGGTAACAGATGGACCTTATTGTCCCTATATCTGTCTCTCTGCTTTCTTTTCTTATCCTGCTCCTCAGAAAATGAAAACAATCTATCCTCCAAGCCCTTGGATCTGGACTCTTAGGTGGATATACCTGAAAGAAATGGAGAGTTAAAGAACAGATTAGGGCAGATGAAAGGACATTGAGAATAGAGGTTATTTCCACTCCAAACTTCAAGCCACTGGGGAAAAAAAAGCCATTGTGGACAGTTTGGATTGTTTTTGTATTCCACCATTTTATTTTTTGTCTTGGAAAAATACAGGGTTTTTTTTTGGTGAAATATGTTATATGTTGACATACACAAGGGCTCATTTTTAACATATTAATATGTATTTTAAATGGACTTTTTAAGAGTGGTTTTAAGTTCACAGCAAAATTTTCTAATATGTACCTACAGATATATCCTGCTCCAACACATGCATAACTTCCCCTTAATTAACCTCCCTCATGAGTGGTGCATTTGTTACAATTGATGAACCTAGATGAACACAACATTGTTAGCAAAGTTTCCTAATGGACGTGAGGTTTCATTCAAGGTTTTGTACATTTTGTGGCTTTGGGCAAACATACAGTAACATGTATCCACCACTAGCATAGAGACAAACTATTCACACTTCCTTAAAATTCTTCTGTGCTCTACATATTCTTCTTTTCCTTCCCGCAACCCTTAGCAACCACTGATCTTTTACTGGAGCCATGATTTGCTTTTCCAGAGTCACACAGTTGGACTTAAAAAGCATGTTATCCTTTATGAGTTTTGGTACATTCTGTGTTCAAACATGATTCCTTCTACCTGGGTCATCACACGTGTGGGCATGGGCTTGCTCCCAGTATTCCTTTAGTATCTTTGAATGCCCCATGGTATCTGTAGTGATGCCGCCCCTTCATTTCTGGTATCAGTACTTTGTGTCTTGGGTCTTGTTTCCTCCTCAGTTTGCCTGGCTAAATGCTTATTAATTTCATGTATCTTTTAAAAACAGATTTTGGGTTTGTTGATTTTATCTATTGATTTCCCATTTCCATTCCGCTGACCTCTGATCTAATTTTTTAATTATTTTTTCTTCTGTTTACTTTGGAATTAATTGGCTCTCTTTTTTCTTGTTTCCTAAAGTGAAAGCTTAGGTGACAGATTTTAAATCTCCTAATTTGTACACTCAGTGCTATGAATTTCCCTCAAAGCACTGGTTTTGCTCCATCCCAAAAATTTTGATAATTTTTTTTAAAAAATGTTTGGATCCATTGTAATGCATGAGGGTGATTGTGCTCCCACTCCCCTGGTTTTAGAACCCTGTATTGATACATATGTTCTCAGGTCCCAGACCCCCACTAAGTGTTGTAATCAGTTTTCATTTTTTCTTCCCCTGTACATACTCTCCTTTCTTCAGGTTACTTCTCCTTGCTGGAATAATTGCTTCCAAATTCCTGGGTGACCCCTGTCTGAGTGTGTGGCAAAGGAGAGCAACCACTGTGGTAGAAGTGGCATCATGGATATCAGAAAAGCAGCTCAATGCCCCTTCTAACCTTGAAATCACTGGGACAATGGTCAATATTCTGAGGGATAATTTGTGGAAAGTTAGCAGAGTTCTTTATGTGAAGAAAGGTGACAAGAGGTCATCTGGGTATTTGAAAAGGCAGAGAATGAGGGTGACTTAGTGGTTGGAAAGGGGATGTCATGGGCACCCTTTTTATGGTGAATGATCAGTTTTTGCTTTTTTTTTTTTTTAATAATTTCTAGGTTGTGCAGATTCTGATTGCCCTGATAAACTTCAGCTTGGGAATAATAATGATGAGTGTAATAGTGCCATTTTATGAACCGCACCCCATTTCATTTAACACAGCATACCCAGTTTGGGGGTCAGTGATGGTGAGTACTTTCTGATATAATTAGAGATAATGTCAATGTTAATATTGTTAATATCCCAAGTTCTGGAATCCTCTCTTGACTCTATCCTGTATCTCTTTAATTTTTTTTTTTTTTTTTTGGTGGGGGAATGCTGGGGATTTAATACAGAGGTGCTTTACCACTGAGCTACATCCCCTACCCTTTTGACTGATTGATTGAAACAGGGTCTCACTAAGTTACTTAGGGCCTCACTAAATTGCTGAGGCTGGACTTGAACTTGTGGTCCTCCTATCTCAGCTTCCTGAGACACTAAAATTATAGGTGTGCACCATCCAGACCAGCTATTTCTTAATTTTTTTAAAGTTCTGGGGATTGAACCTAGAGCTTTGTGCATGCTAGGCAAGTGCTGTATTAGAAAACTACATTCCCTGTCTTGCATTTTTTAAGTTTGAGAAAGATATCTAAATGTTTTTTTAGCTCAGTTTTCTCATATTTAAAATGATAATAATAATATGAAACTCAGGAAGTTGACAGATTAAATATTCTATAAACATGAATTAAAATATATGATAGCAGAAAGAAGCAAAATACCAAACTAGAATAAGGACCATAGTGGCTAATCATTTCCAGGGTTAGTAAGGACTTCATCAAGGATTGTTGGCAGAATGTATCAAACTTTAAATTACTTGTTCTCAAATGAAAGAATAATGGACTTGCCATTATTTGCTTGAACTAATCAAGATTCACCTCTAAGGCTGGGAAGGGTTCACATTTCCTTGAAATTCATGAGAAACTGAGCAAAATGAGGGGCTCCTCCTTTTGCAAGGAAGAAGAGACTCTTGCCTGATATATAGGCCATGTAGTGTGTCTCACCCATCAACTATCAAATCTTAGGAAATTGTTCCCTTAGAAAATAGAACAGCTGTTACATGAACTTTTATTTTTCTATGTTTAGTAATACCAACAAGTAAAACGGAATGAAACTAGAACTGTAAAATGTTTAAAAATCTTTTCCCCCAGATAAAACACAACAGAGTGATTCCTAAGAATTGAAGGTGAAAATTAAGTATAAAATATCAAGTTTCATCTACTGAGGAGGAAAAAAAATGAAATTTATAAACTGGATCAATGTTAGAATAAGGGAGACCATTTGAATGTTGTGGGGTTTCCACTGACCTGTAAATCTGAGCCTGAGAGAGTTCAAAGTTTTATTATATACCTGGTTTGTGTCCTCCCTCTTCAGTTTCCTGCAGTGTTGCAAAATTGGAAGAATTTTAAGAGCTGATCTACTTCTGGGTTGTTGCACAACACTAAAGGTCAAATACTACTATTGCCAAGACAAACTTTTATTAAAATCTTACCATGATCTCGGCACTCTACTTAATATTTTATATATGTAATTCCACTTCAAACCATCACTACAAACTTTGGAGGGAGCATTGTCAGTAAGCTCTTGTATGGATAAAGAAACTGGAACCTGGAGAGGTTACGTAACTTGCCCAAGATTATGCCACTATTTGGTACAGGAATTGGGCTTCAGTAGCGTCAATGTAATCCCATAATTGCACACATCTAACCCGTCGAGTGTTCTGACTCCTTTTTCCTTTCCTTACCAAGCCCATTTTGGTAACGAATCTATGTAGTTTAGGCTGCCTATGCGTGGGGCAGGTTCAGGAGCTGCGTTGGTCCACTGAGGTATCACTAGAGTATTGTAGGTGTGCCCACCAGATGAGCTTTTGCTTAACTGGTCGATTGTCTCTTGCTGCCACCTTCCATTACTTTTTCGATTTTATTTTCAGGCTCCACCTGTACAACACCTCCTTTTCCCTTACACCGTACAAGTACCAACACCAAGAAACAATTATAAATATTTATTATTTTGACCTCTTTAGTTACCCATCCACCTACATGTCCTGGAGTAGAATTCCATAAGCATAAAAGTATCTCCTCATCGGTTTATCCAAGTGTTCTTTTGCATTCTTTTGGAATACTGTAGTTTTATTCATATGCATTTTCACATTTTCTGTTAAGATTTTCCCCATGAGATACCTTTGAACACAGAGTGCACATGTATATACAGTTCACCCCTCAATAGCCATAGTGGGAGGGATCCAGGACTCCTATAGCTGTCAAAAGGAGAATCTGGGACTGCTCAAGTGTCTTAAGTCATCCCTCAGCCCTGCTTATCTGTGGATATAGGCCTGTGGATCTGGAGGGTCAACTGTGTATATTTTTGCTATGGTAAATGATATACTTTTATACAATTCTATCTTCAAAAACACCAACACACATATTGATTATGTGTGTGTGTGTGTGAGTGTGTGTGTGTGTATGATGCTTTCACTGTGCCATACTAAATGTTCTTATCCTTTATAGTACCTCTTAATTGTGAATCTTGGATATTTGCCGTTCCATGGATATTCATAAATAATACTACTTTAGCTGTTTGTTCCAAATATTTTTCTTATTTTTAATTATTTTAGTTAATGTATCCAGAGTGATATTGCATAATAGTCCATATTCTCATCTTGATTTTGACTTTAATGTGATGGTACTAGTCTTTCCCTATTAAACATGAAAAAACTTTTAGGCTTCCAAAAATGTTCTATCGTGTTATGGAAGATAAAATTATTTATATTTTACAATTATTTATACTTATTATATACATTTTACAAATAATTATTTGTAAAATGTAAATAATTATATTTGTTAACAACAATGTTATTTATATATAACAGTATTTATAATTTGATCTTTATTAACAGCAATGGTGAATCTTATTGTCTTATCAATATGGCAAATACAAAGAGCAGTTACAAAGTTAATTTTCTTCTTAAATTCATTAATGCCATAAATTATGATAATATTTCAATGTTAAAAATGCATTTGAAAAAAATCACACATATTCATGTTTTATTTCATGTAGTGAAACAGCTGATTCTTTGTGCTACTTTTTGGCCCAAGGGTGATTAAGTTTACATGAATTATTCTGTCTTGGTATTAGAAGTTTGTTGAGGAGGTTAATCAAACTATTTCACTAAGCCCATCAATTTTGGTATTAATATGAAATTTTGAGACATCTAAAATTGAACTTGAAAAGTATATACAGACACAAACCACTGAATAGTTGAAGTAAAAGACTTTGAGTTGACCTTGGCCATTTCAGCTAAATGGAAGATAATTTCCCAACTGATGGAACCAAATGAACTAATATATTCTAGTCATCATTTAATAAGAAATTTGAATTTTTCTTTGCTAAATTAATTTACTCTTATTAATTTATTTCTTTGCTATTCATTTACAACTTTTAAAAGATATTTCAAATTAGAATAATTTTCTATTTCTTTGTGTTTTTAATATCTTGTTCAATTTTGGTACCATATTAGGGTTACTTCATATCTGGAATTTGGAATCTATTTTTCAATGCCCTCAAGCAATTTTTATGTGGGGGGTTGCAGAGTACTAGAGATTGAACCCAGGGGCACTTAACCACTGAGCCACATTCCCAGCCCTGTCTTATTTTTTGTTTAGAGACAGGGTCTTGCTAAGTTGCTTAGGGCCTCGCTTCATTGCTGAGGCTGACCTTGAACTTGCAAGAGCCACTGGGATTACAGGGATGTGCCACCATGCCCAGCTTCGAGCGATTTTGATATCATTGCACTTAGATATTTTTTGAAAAGTTTGGTAAATCCCTGTAAGAATACACCTGGTAGAATTCCTCTGTTGTTTATGGGGAAAAAACAGTTATTTGTAAACTTGTTTCTTCTATAATGATTGATCTGCTTAACATGTCTAATTTATGGATAATGTTTAGTAATTTATGATTTTATATATTTGTTTAAATTTTTCTCCCCCCTTCTTCTTCATCACCTCCTTCTTTTTCCTCTTCCTCTTCTTCTTCCTAGTTTATTATTTCAGGATCTTTTTCAATTGCAGCTGCAACCAGAACTACCAAAGGTCTGGTGAGTAATAGTTCCTCTTTTTTTTCCTGTTCAAAGAGGATGAAATGATGATCCTCTTTGTCACATGTCAATGGCAGAAAACAGATTTTTAGGTGTAACTTTATTTTATTTTTAAACATGATTTTTAATTAAAATGTATACATTCAAGATACTCTTGTTGTGTGTGTGCGTATGTTTGGGTACACACACACACACACAAATAACTGATTGCCACCACAAACAGGCTAATTAATATATTATTCTCCTCCTATAGTTACCTTTTTTTTTCTGAATGTGATGAGAAAACTTAAGATCTACTCTTTTGTCCAATTTTAAGTATTCATTACTATTGATTATAAACACCACCCTGTGTATTATCTCTCTAGAACATCATCATTCTTTGTGACTAAAATCTTATGCCCTTTGATCATCATCTACCATGTTTCCTCGCCCCTTTGCCCCTAGTAACCACCATTCTACTCTCTGTGTCTATGAATGCAATGTTTTTGTGTTCCACATTCAAGTGTTTGAATCATTGGACCCTGGTTTATTCCTGTCATTCTAAATGGCAGGATATCCTACACCTAAAAGTCTGAATAATACTCCATCGTACCTATACATACATGTTGCGATAGGTGTCCGACAGGTGTGTAGATATTTAGAGATGAGTATCACACTCTCTTTTTCCTTCATCCACCAACTGACACTTCAGTGGTTTCCGTGGCTTGGCTATTCTTAATGACACTGAGATGAGCACAGAAGGGCAGCTTTCTATGAAATCCTGTTTCCATTTCCTTTGAGTATATGTCCAGAGAAGTGATTTCTGGGTCATATGATGGTTCTATTTTTAGTTTTTTTAGGAACTTCCTAGTATTTTCCATTATGGCTATATCCATACATTCAGTGAAGAAGGATTTATTTTCTCTATATCCTCATGGTTACGTACTATCTTTTGTCTTTTTAATGATCACCATCCCCAAAGGTAGGAGAGGATACATGATTGTGGTTTTGATTTGAATTTTACTCATAATTAGTGATATTAAGCACCTTGTCTTGTATTTGTTGGTCATTTGTGCATCTTCTTTGGAAACAGGTCTATTTTAAATTTACATTTTTATTTGTCTTTGGCATTGATTTGTAGGAATTCCTTATATATTTTGAAAATATATATATCTTGTCAGTTATACAGTTTGCACATAGTATTTACATTAGAGACCCAAACAGGGCAATTAGGTAAGAAATAGCAAAAAAAGATGAACAGAAAGGAAAGAGATGAAACTATAGTTATTTATGGGTGACCTTATTATGGTCATAGTTTATCTAAATGAACCTATAGAAAAATAATGAGGATTTAAACTCAATGGCACTATTCCCCATGTATATGGCCGAAATACAAAAGTCAAATGTATGTGTGTGTATAACACATGTGCATGCATACACACACACACATACACACTCAAACACATGCTAATGAACAGCTGAATTTTTTAATGTTAAAATTATAATAACAAAATATAACCAAGCAATCATATTCAATATGTGTAAAAAGACGTTTATAATGTCTATGTAGGAGCTATGTAAAACAAATGAAGGGATAAACTATGAAGAGGTAAAGGAAACTCAATGTTGCAATGATGTCCTTTTTTCCAAATTAATTTCTGGATCCAAAAATGACCACCATTAAGTGTAGGTAACTTGTTTTATGGCAACTAGTTAGTCGAGTCTATTTTATATAAAAATCCAAAGGGAGACATATATTCTTGTATAGAATTAAGGCCTGAAACCATAAAACTCCTTAAAAAATAGGGACAAAACCCCTGGAAATTGGTTTAACTATGATTTTATGGCTGTAAAACCAGAAGCATGGGCATAAAGGCAAAAATAAACAAGTGGAATAACATCAAACTAAAAAGTTCCTGCTTAGCAAAGGGAACAATAACTAAAGTGAATAGGCAGCTGACGGATTCAGAGATATTTGCAAATCAGACTTTGTCTAAAAACTTCAGGAGAAATAATGAGTTGGAGTTGTCTTTCAAAAGCTATAGTCAAATAATTGGCTGATAATGGAATTACTGACATAAGACCAACTAGTTTGGCAAGGTGAGGGTTTTTCATGAAGATACAGAGGAGTCCTGAGAAGGAATGTCAAGTGGGTTCAAATCTTGAAGCTTGAGACCCAGCCCCTGACAACATTAGTACCAAATATTGATGTGGCCAAAGACTTATTGACTTATTGATGAGTATATTTCAACTACATCCAGAAAGTGTTTTGAGTTTGCAAAAAAATTCAGAATAAGATTATTATATAAAAATCATTTAACACATAATGTTCATGCCAATATGTCTTTCTCAAAGCAAAAAAAAAAGAAGAAGAAGAAGAAGAAAGAAAGAAAGAAAGAAAGAAGCCCAGATCTCAACAAATGTTTTCCTTGGCTAACGGCCATATTTGAATTATTATTGCTCAACAGATAAATAAACTCTAGAGCATGATCAGAGATATTTGCAAATTATGACCTGTCCAAACCTGACCTTGGTCTATCTCCCTCATGTTTACTGACTTAACTATTGAAATGTGTCAGGTGCTGTAACCCAGTAAATCTTTCACACTTTTCTAAGCAATTTTAGTTCTTATATGAAGTCTCTGTTCTTCCACTGTGAGAAGATAATATGGAAAAAGGAATACATAGTACAGTGAGAGAATATACAAAAGGCATAGAGGCATGACACACTGACAGAATTTAGAAAATGAGCGGTCAGGTTCCTGTGGCAGGCACCTGGATGCAAGACAGGGCTTTCTAGCTAAAATATAAAGGTCTTTGAAATCCCTATTAATTCTGTTCAGAGTTTATGTGCACATGGGAGTCATTGGAAATTTTATCCTGGAAATAACTGGATGATATTTGTGTTTTGACAAGAGAATAAAGTTTCAACTACTATAAAGAAAAAACAACAACATTGAAATCATGGCTACTATATATATGCACAGATACAATCTCTACTATAATGACTACTGAAATGATCAAGATAAGATAATTCTGGGAAAGAGGCGGAGGGCTCGAAGTGATTGATGGAGATACAGCTAATGACATTATTGGGTAGCTTAACTGATTTTCATTCCTTTTGCAGGTCCAAGCCAGTCTAGGATTGAACATAGCCAGCTCTGTGCTGGCTGCATCGGGCATCATGCTCAGTATATCCAGCTTGAGCATCTTGTCATTTGAATACCATCAGTGTATCCATGATATGATGGTAGAGGACTGTTCCCTGATCATGTCCATTTTAACTGTGAGTACTTCCTTTTTTCTTGGGACACTATGGTTCAAGCCTGTTGGGGAGGTAGGAGGCTACTGGCTCCAAAAAAAGGAGCAATAAACTTTTTTCACTTTGTGAAGTTTCTTTCCCTTCCTTAGCTTCTAGAGACCACCAAGGTCCCTTGCCGTGTCATTCCCTCTTTTAATTTGTTCTTTTTAGTTATAGATGACAGTAGAGTATATTTTGAGATATTTATACAAACATGAAATATATCTTATTCTAATTAGGACTCCCAGTCTTGTGTATGCATAGGATGTGAAGATTCACTGTGGTATATCCATATATGTACATAGGAAAGTTATGTTAGATTCATTCCACTTTCTTTCCTATTTCTACCCTCCATTCCTTCCCTCCCCTTTGTTTAATCCACTGAACTATTGTACTTCCCTTGTTGTGTGATAGCATCTGCATATCAGAGAGAACATTTGACCTTTGGTTTTGGGAGATTGGCTTATTTCACTTAGAACGATAGTCTCCAGTTCCATTCATTTACTAGCAAATGCCATAATTTCATTTTTCTTTATGAATGAGTAATGGTCCATTGTGTATATGTACCACATTGTCTTTATCCATTCATCTGTTGAAGGGCACCTAGGTTGGTTCCGTACCTTAGCTATTGTGAATAAACATAGATGTGGCTACATCATCAGAGTATTCTGATTTTAACACCTTTGGGTATATGCTAAGGAGTGGAATAACTGAGTCAGATGGTGGTTCTATTCCAAGCTTTCTGAAGAATCTCCATACTGCTTTCCAGAATGGTTGCACCAATTTGCAGTCCCACAAGGTACCTTTCCCCCCACATCCTTGCCAACATTCATTGTTATTGTATTAGTAATTGCCGTTCTGACTGGAATAAAATGAAATATCAGTGTAGTTTTAATTTGCATATCTCTAATTGCTAGAGATGTTGAACATTTAAAAAATATATTTGCTGATGATTTGTATTTCTTTTTCAGTTTCTTTGTTCATTTATTGATTGAGTTATTTTTTTTTTTTTGAGTTCTTTATATATCCTAGAGAGTAATGCAGTATCTTAGGTGCAGCTGGCAAGATTTTCTCCTATTCTGCAGGCTCTCTCTTCACACTCTTGATTATTTCCTTCATTGTGAAGAAGCTTTTTAGTTTGAGACCATCCCATTTATTGATTTTTGATTTTACTTCTTGAGCTTTAGGAGTCTTGTTGAGGAAGTCTGTTCCTAAGCCAACATGGTAGAGCGTTGGGCCTACTTTTTTTTCTAGTAGGTGGAGGGTTTCTGGTCTAATGTTTAAGTCTTTGATTCATTTGGGGTTAAGTTTTGTGCAGACTGAGAGATAGGGGTTCAGTTTCATTCTACTACATATGGATTTTCAGTTTTCCCAGTACCATTTGTTGAAGAGGACATCTTTTCTCCAATGTATGTATGTGGCATCTTTGTCTAGTATGAGATAACTATGTTCATGTGGGTTTGTCTCAGAGTCTTCTCTTCTGTCCCATTGGTCTTCGTGTCTGTTTTTGTGCCGATACCATATTGTTTTTGTTATTATAGCTTTGTAGTATAATTTAAGGTCTGATATTGTTATGCCTCCTGCTTAAATTTTCTCACTAATGATTGCTTTGGCTATTATGAGCCTCTTATTTTTCCAAATGATTTTCATGACTGCTTTTCCTATTTTTATGAAGAATGTCCTTGGAATTTAACTAGGAACTGCATTCGATCTGTAAAGTGCTCTTGGAAGTCTGGCCATTTTGACAATGTTAATCTGCCTATCCAAGAACTTGGGAGATCTTTCCACCTTCTAAGGTCTTCTTCAATTTCTTTCTTTAGTGTTCTGTAGTTTTCATTGTAGAGGTCTTTCACCTCTTTTGTTAGATTGTTTCTATCTTCCAGTGGTGCCATATTTTAAAGTGACTTTGACTTTTGTGTCTTCTGCCTCCTGCTTCCACTTAGCAGGATGCTGTGATTCATTTGGGTTTACTTGAACAGTGCAGGATAATTCTCCCATTTCAGCTAATGAACAACTTTTCCTCCATCTTAATGAAAGCTTAATTCCCTTTGCCATTTAATCTAACACATCCACAAGTTCTAAGAATGAGGATGTGGACTGTTTGGGTGAATTTTCATTCTTCTTAGAATATTTAAGATGTGAGATTTGATTACTGCATTAACTATATGGAGTTACTTGTGTTTGAAAAATCTTTACAATTCCCTGCCACCACCTTTTTCAAAGCTCTTTCATATTCTGTGTCCACAATAGCATTGAGATGTAGAGAACGGGGGGTAGGGGGGGGGATGATTATTTCATCAGCCAAAAAAAGTGAGAGAATAGGTGACATACAGTGTTCCAAGAATTAGCCAATGGTTGTTCATAATTAGGAGCCAGAATTGTATACTCCTGGCCCATACTTTTTCTCTTTTGGCATTCTATTAATTTTAAATGTAAGAACATATTGTCTGGATTCCTCATGTTTCTTTGGTATGAATTTATTTTTAGGGTGTAGATGCTGTGATGTTCATTTTTAGTGTGCTGGAATTCTGCATTGCTGTGTTCGTCGCTGCCTTTGGATGCAAAGTGACCTGCTGCAACCCTGGTGGGGTGAGTATATTGGCCTTCATTGAAGACATCTCTACCAGTTTTCTATTGCTGTGTGGTCGACTTCATAGACCTGGAGGCTTAGGACAGCACAGGCTGATTATCTCAGTTTCAAGGCTCAAGAGTCTAAACACAGATTAGCTGCATTCACAGAGCTGGGTTGAGCCCATGATCTCATATGAAGTTTCTAGCCCTCTTCCATGCTCATGTGGCATAGTCCATTCTTGAACTCACAAGACATACTTCTCTGAGGACAGTGGGACAGCATATGTCTCAAGTTCTTTCAGTCTTTTTTATTTGTGTGTGGTGCTGGGGACTGAACCCAGGGCCTTGTGCATGCGAGGCAAGCACTCTACCAACGGAGCTATATCCCAGCCCTCTTTCAGTCTTTTGTAAAGGGCTCACATGATTAGGTCAGGTTCATCCAGAATAATGATATACTCAAAGCCAAACTGATCAGTAAACTACTCACAGGAGTGATATCCCATCATACTGACGTCATATTACAAGAATATGAGTCACTGAGTGTGATCTTAGAATTCCGCCTGTCACAGTGGCTGAAGAAAGGCTAGGTTTCCCCATCCTTACCTTCTTAAAAGGCATCTTTTAAAATCCAAGGAAGAGAAACACTTCACAAGGACGAGGTTCCCAGAGAATGCAGGACTTCACTCCGTTATTCTACTACAAAACCTCCCCTGGCCTAATGAAGAAAAATGAGGCATCTGACTTCTTCATCAGTTGGTGCACACCTGGCCATTGTGTTACCTGAGGCCTGCAGCAGACCCGCCAGGTTGCTAAGTGGAAAGAAAATCATCCAAATAGAGGAAAGTGGGAAATGGACAGAGAAGAAACCAAGAAAGAAATTATAGGAATAACAGAGCAGGAGGAGCCTCCACACATTGAGGGTTCCAGAGAAGTGGCTAGTAAAACCTCAACAGCTGCTCATTAGCTTCATTACCCAAAGGCCCTGGGGCAGCAAAACTCACAGACAAATATAGAACAGCAGTTTAATGAGATTGCTCTTGTGGTTCTCATTTCTGTTCTTTGTGCCTCTTTGCCTTCTTTTGAGGCTCCCAGGCCACACCACAACAAACTCCCCCACAAAAGAGACAGGAGCTAAATCACCTGAAGTCTCATAGTGGGTTTTGCATTATTAAGGCCCTAGAAGTGTGAGTTTCTCAGAAATTAACGATTTTGTAATTTAATTGAATGAGGCTTCTCACTGAGAGAAGCACTTGGGCATAGAGGCAGATTTTAGGAATCTTAAAATCTCAACATGTAAGTGTGATCCCTTCTGCTCTGGAGTCGTTGGAGAGCCAGTAGCTGCTGCTCCCTCTTCTCTCCTGAGTGAATCCAGAAGAGCAGTGGCTTCAGGACATTGGATGTTTAGTCTCCATGTCTTCCTGCTTTAGCTACTGTCCCCCGAAAACTTCGTGTCCTGATGAGTTTGTGGAAGAATATTCCTTAGTTTCCTGATAATTCCTGCCACCCTGGCCAGTGTGGGTTTGGTGGGGCTTTATTGTGGCAGCAGATCCTGATTTGGATGTGCACTGTCATCAGCACGAGTAACCTGGTTTGGAGGAGCAGCCCTGCATTTCCCATAGCACCTTGGTGAGGGATAACTCCTCAGGGACCATCATCCACGCATAAGATGGATCCACTCTAAGACTCAGCCCCAGCCACCACATCTCAGGCCCAGAGCCATCCCTGGGTGAGGCTCCTGGATCTAGCCTGGTCTGAGGAACGCCTGAGAGTCCACCAGGCTGCTCTGGTTGGAATTCAGAGAAGGTGGCGTGGATGCTGCTGATGACATAAGTGGGTGGGGAAGGGAGACCTGAGGTGGTTTGATCTCTCACCAGTGGCATTCTCATGTATTTCACAGGTCGTGTTGATTCTGCCACCAAACCCTCCTGTGACAGAAACAGCATCTGGTGCACCCTTTTAAGGAAGTTTGATGTCACATCAAGAGAAAAATGTTCCAGAAAAATCTATTCTGAATTTTAAGCAAGAACCCCATTTGGGAAAGTGCCAGAATCCAACTCTAGTCTGTCTCTCTATCTCTGTCTTTCTGTCTATAAAAGCTCAGGATCATGTTCCCATTTCCCCTCAGGAACTCAACGATGCATTCCAATGGAATTTTAGCAGAATATTGGAAGCTGAGTAAATAAATCATGCCTTTGGTGGTCAACAGGACTCGAGTGTCATTCATCCATCTTCAGGGCAGTACAATGGCAAAGAAGCCTTACCTGTGAGGGGCTGGAGGATGTTACTGAAGTGGGCACCATGAGTCCTTGATGCAGACCACATATCCCTGCTTCCCTGTCCAGTGCTGTTCCTCCCATTTGCTTGATTGTTTTCATTTTTTTGTTTGTTAAACCCACCTTAAGGGACACAACTCTTTTTTTTTTTCTTCTGGAAGTTGAGCTACATGGATATCTCCCTTCTTTGCCTTCTGCTTCTTCACCTATGCCACGTAAAAGACCATGGTATATAGGACAGTCAGTCCTTGTATGGGCAAAAGCCATTGATAGACATACACTTGGGTGAGATTCAACCTTTACATTCTCACTCTCTCTCCCCCACCTCAATAGGTTTATATCTTAATCAAGTTTACATCCAGTTCTCTATCTCTATCATAGACACTTTATAAATATGTATTGATTCAAAGGATGAATTGACCTATATATATATATATATATGTGTGTGTGTGTGTGTGTGTGTGTGTGTGTGTATAGATATACATGTGTGTGTGTGTGTGTGTGTGTGTATCTATTGTCCACTTTCTCCAGCTTTGTATGTGGACAATAATTAGAAAAAGTCACTTAAGAACTAAGGGATTTCCATTTTCCTGGTTGAAGATTAGATGGTAATCTGGAAGTTCCATCGGGTGAATCTGAAAACTGGTGCTTTTATGTTAACACAGGTGTTCAACATCTCTTACTGAACATCAGTGAGAATACAGGTGACCTGCTTTATCACTGGCAGATGTGTATGTCTCCAAGTGAACTAGATTTAAAATGAAATAAAATAAGCAGAAACAGCAAACCATGGAGCTGATATGGGTCCTTGATTCCATGTTGAGAAGCTGGATCTTAAAACATGTTTCAGTTGTTAGTTAACGATTTTTATGGATGAAGTAATAATAATTGAGTGTTTTCCTTTATACATTGAAGTAAGTTTATTGTCATTTCTCTTCTTTTGTGAGTTAACGGTTCATATTCTTAGCTTATTTATCTTTTTACTTATTATATATTGATATTTTCATATGAGTGATACTAACTCACCATCTGTGTCCTGTGATGCAATTATAATTTTTTTTCAGCGAGCTATTTTTCTTCTACATTTATTTTTGGTGTATCTTGTTATAAAAATATGTTTATAATGTAAAGAGTTTTATCATTTCTTTTACAAGAATGTTTATTTATTACCCCATAATATTTATTCATTAATGGTTTCAATTGCTTGGAAAATTTTTTCTCATCCCAAATTTATTGCATATCTTTTTATATTTCCTCTAATTTATATATAGTTTTGAACCTGACATTTATTTTTATTAGTATTGTTTAATTTTATAAATTATCTAGTATGGTGGCCCTTCAGGAGACTGAGGCAGAAGGATCACAGATTCAAGGCCAGCCTCAGCATATAGACCCTGAGCATATAGAGAGACCCTGTCTCAAAATAAAAACAAAAAGAACTGGGGATGTAGCTCAGTGGTAGGACTCCCCGGAACCCCAAAACATAAATTCAATGTGCTTTTCACAATGCTAGGCCATTATGCCAATAATACTGATGACATAATTAATATTAAGTAAAAATATTTTACTATATAGTAAAGACATGTTTATCTATTTTTGTAACTAATTACTGTCTTTTGATTACTTTGTATTCGTTGCTATCCTTCCCTCACTTTTCTTTTTCTTCAAAACTTCATTAATATTTTGAAGCTTCTGTCACCAGAATGTTTTTCTATTTGTTCTGAGAATCATGAACCTGAATTTGAGAGATAATTTAAACCCCTCTTGAAGAAGTCATCTACACCCCTAGCCACAAAACATTTTATTTACAAAATGTTTATACTGAATACTATACATGTGGGCCCTGTAACCACGGAAACGACTCCAAATCCCTCCTGGGGGTTTGTGCCAAGTCACAATTCAGGCAGATTAGAGAAAGCAAAGCTGTTCCCAGCCACCATACCCCCCAAATAAGACCTGTCAGTGCCTGGGGGTAGGGGGGGTGGCTCAGCCCACAAAGAACTGAGGGTCTAAAGGGATCAAGATGATGGGGCAGTTGTGGGGGGGAGAGGTGAAGACCCAACTTAGCTTCTCCAAAGGTAGAGAAGATTCTGCCCCAGCACAAGGAGTCCACTTTTTCCTGGATTTAGACAATGGAAGAATCACACTAACCCAACTTAAGTGACGTTCTTGGGTAGCATTGTGACAGGAATCATTAATTGTATGAATGACATGCTGCCAATCAAATCTAATCCCACTGTTGCTTCACCAACAAGGAAATCATTTCCTTTTCCTGTTGGGCTTGGAGCTGTGAGGATGTGAATCTGCTGCTCTCAGCAGACATTGTGTTTCTCTAAGAATCCTGTGACAGAACAATCCCTACAGAGGGGAGCAGAATTGAGTGGTGAAAGATTAAACCCTGACAATAGCGTTGGAGTTGCTGAGCCAAGGTATAACTGGAAATAGGACAAATCTCATGTTTTAAATATCTGAAGAAATGGAAAATAGAACCAATAAGAGAGTATACTACCCAGGCAAAACCCTTAAATGGATTTTTCTGTAATTTCAGAAAAAAAGAAGAAAAATAATGCAAACCTCATGCTAAACCTTCTAAGTTCTTCATTACCTGATTCTTTTCTCCACCTTGGCTTTTGAAAAGCATCCTACCCTTGTATTTCCTGATTTTCCTCTTTGAGTTTAAAGAACCAGAGAATGCCTTCTTTTGCTGAGAACTATGGTATGCCCAGATATTTTAAAAGAGTAGTTCATTTTTAGTTGTAAAAAAGTTCATATACACATTCTGGGCTATTAGGATCAGATATTAAGATCCTAAATTTTAGAGAAGACTCCCTGCATTCATTTCACATCATGTCATTTCAAACTTACTCTTCATCTGGTTGTTCTAGGTCTTATCTAAAAGTGCTTAGAATGTATAGCAATGGAGGAGGGGCTGGAGTTGTAGCTCAGTGGTAGAGAGCTTGCCTGGCATGTGTGAGGCCCTGGGTTTGATACCCAGCACTGCATATAAAAAATAAATAAAAGATCCATTGACAACTAAAAAAAATTTTTTTAAAAGAATAGCAATAGGAAAATATCCATGAGTCTTTGCCTATTTTTTTACATTTCTAATAAATATAATTGCTTTTCAAATACCTAATTACATGCTTCAAAACTTATGAAATGGGTGATCATGGGCAACTTATTGCGATGCTTCAGCTTCTTCTTGTATAAAAATTCCAGTGACATTCATATTAGGTTTTTGTAAACACTACCATTATTAAATTGGTATGTGACTCTGGTAGGTTGTATATAAAGATTCTTTAAAACTTAACATGAAAACAAGTAGCAACATAAAAATGAGTACTAACTTTGACTAGGATTAAGTCTTCATTTGAGCATATTAGCAGTTACCTCTATTTTATTTTTTCACAGATTCATGGGGTACCCCATAAGATTTCAACACAATTATACATTTTATAATGATCAAATCTGGGTTTAATATGTATCTTCTCAAACATTTATTATTTCTTTATAGTGAAAATGTGAAAATCTTCCTTTTTTTGAAATGCATAGTACTTTATTATAATGTGTAGTCTCCCTACTGTGTGGTAGAACACCTTTCTGATTCTGTACACTGATCTTATAGATTTGCCATACTCAGTGGAAAGGGTATGAAGAGAGATGAAGAGACATATATATGTTCATATCCTTAATAAGAACACAAATAAACCTGAAGGGAAGAAATAAAGAGTGGAAGTCCACTGCTTTGGTTGTAGGACCAACTCGTGCATTTTATTTTAGGACTTGAATAATAATTTCCTGTTCCTTTATTTTGTATCTTGCTATTAATTTTTATCACTGAAATATAGCTTTGGGGTCGGTCTCGAAATCGGGTAGCATATATCTTACACGTTTTCCTACAGTTAACAACATCGATTAGTCCATTCCAGGTCTTCCATTATCCCAGGTAAAATTTAAAATAAGCTTATCAACTTATTTAAAAGGGCCTTCTGGGGCATCATTAGTAGTATGTTGAATCTACAAGTCACTTGGAGAAGGATTGCCAGTTGAGAGCAATATCATATATTTTCCAGTGCCTTAATGCCATACGCCTCTTCATTTATGTAGGTCTTCTTTAATATCTTTCAGCAATAATTTGTAATTTGTGTTTTAGTGCCTTGCACATATTTTATTAAGTTTGTCTATATGTATATTATTGGGTATTTTGATGCTTTGGAAATAGCATTTTATTTATATTATGTGTGTATACATATACACATATAAAATAATGGTATTACATATATTTATATATGTACATAAATATGATCTTGAAATTATTTCTAGTTTTCAGAAATGCAATTGACCTTAATATTTTGAGCTTCTATAGTTCACCTTGTTAGGTTAATTCATCATGGTTTTCTTCATTACTTAGTGTGTACACAGGTTTTCATCTGATACCATCTTCCTTCAGCCTAAAGAGTTTCCTCTAATGTATTTTCTCATATTTTTTTCTCTCATTTTTGTTGTCTGAATACATATATATTTTAACTTGATTGTTTTGACTGCTTTATTTTTATAATTTTATTGGTGCATTCTAATTATGCATACTAGTGAGATATGACCTTTTCCAGTGGATATTTTCACAGGCTGGATCCTAGGTCCAGAGTTTCTGTCTTTGCTTTAATGGTGCCTTTTGCCTGACATGATG